ATTGCTGGGGGGCGGAATCAGCGCGCATGATTTCATGTCCTTTGTTCTTGGGCCAGCAGGCCTTGAGGAGAGTGCGGCTCAGGGCTGGTCCAATCAGTAGCGACTCTATTTTAAGAGTGATGTTGAGGCACTCTGGACAGAAAGGGTCACAATGACGCCCTGATGGAAGGGAATGAAAGTGATCCACCACAGCTTCCATTCAAGAAGAGTCCCCTTCAGTATATCAGCATAAGGAAATTAGGCATGCTCTGGACCTTGGTGAAGAATGAATAGTCACAATGGAGAAGAACATGCTAAAGAGTAAGGAACTGGGAAGAAGGCCTGGATGATCAACTGCTGTCCATTGGAATGTGCAAAAAAAATAGCCACAAAGATTTTCATCTTCCACATGTGTGTCTTTAAAAGGTCAACTGTAAAGCAGTTTATCCTGACCTGTGTTCACTTGGTTAATGAATTACGATGCCACACCGATGTTGAATGCTGCTAATTAAATTCAAGCGGCCCTCAAATAGTTAAACTCCAAACCAATCAATGGAATCTCAGCAGGCTTGTTACAAGGAAACAGATGCAGGACTGTTCCCCCATCTTGCAGTCTCCCTCACTGACATGCCAAAGCCTGCTTTGAAAGTTCTCTTCTGCTGATGCAATAGGTGATGGCATGCCAACACCTAGAAGGAAGGAGCTCACTGGGGTTCCAGGTGTTAACTTCAGAAACAGAACCCCAAACTCGGTCACTGCAGGTAGAGAGAGCTTGGAGTTCACCTTCACGTAGAAACTGGCCCAGTTTAGGACTTAAAAGTAAAATGAACTTAAAACTAAAAGAGGTCGCATCAGTGCAAATGTTTACATTTATTTTTTAATCACAGTGTTTGTGAAAGGTGCTGTACTGGCAACCCTGGAAATTTAAGTCCTCAAGTTAACCTCAGGCACAACATAGGCAACAGTAATACAAGGTCCCTGCACACTACTCACTATTGGAAAGTCACAGCCCTGTTCTGGAGGCCTAGGGGTGTAACCCCAGGCATACGTGGGTAACCCAGGCTTCCTCTCCATTCAATCCTTTGCCCCTCTGCTGAGAATGTCAACACAAACCATCTGAACTAACTGGAGTAATTTGTATTGGGGTCACTTGAGACGGTAATGAGGACTTCATTAGATGGTACCAGAACCATTCTCTGCTGGATTTCAATCAGTGTTCTAGAGGTGAAAGAGCCACACAGTGTTCTATAGGTCATTTTAACAGTTTCCCCAAGTTATCTTTTTTGGATCATCAGAACACAGGTGGTTTCCAGAGAGCAAAAATCTTGCATAAAAATTCTGATTACCACAACCTGAACGTTTTTAACGCAACCCTCTCATGACAGTACAGTGATTAAACACACACTGTGCCCATGTTAATAAATATTAAAGAACTCCTCACTGTAATATGGTGCTACTACACAGTTACACTAATCTAATGCACCAATATTCACAGCTGTGGCATAAGCTACAGCACTGTCAAAACTACAGCCAATAGAAACAAGTCATGCACTTCCACTTAGTTTCCCCTCCACTTCTCTTGGGCATGAGGCCTCTCTCTAGTTCATCACACATGAAAAATAGTTTTGTCAACTGGTCTAATTCTCCATGGACTAAAGAATGGACTGAAAGGCAGTGTGTCTGGTGGATGGAGCACCGAACTAGAACTCAGGAGACCTGGGTTCTATTCCCAGGTAGGCCTCTGGCTCGGCCTTGGGCAAGTTGCAAACTCTCCGTGCCTTCCCTATAAAGCACTTTTGAGATCTACCTCTGAAAAGCATTATGTAAGAGCTATTATTATTACCGAGACTGATTTGAAATAAAGGCCATTCCTCAGACTGATTAAATGTAGTGTTTTCCCATGATTATACTAAAGCAGGCAGCTTCCACTAACTGCTACTTTGCAGCAAGACAAGTGACTTGAGCATTTCAGAATCCAGACCCGTTTTTGCTGTTAAGTACTTATCTATATAGTGGCCAAACCTGTACCCCAAATCTGAACCACCCATGAACTACGGGGCACGGATTCAAAATTTGTACCTGAGCCTGGATTCACATTGTGTCAACACAGATACTTCTCCACTCTCAACTACATTGCCACCTGGTACCTCTGTAACCGATCATTTCGGCATTTTCCAACAAGAAGAGATGTATTATCTTATAACAGTATTACACAAGCCAAGAGAGACAGGAGAGTTAAAATTTTATTCTGTCCAGAGTTAAATATACTAAACAAACTGCATTAAATAAGACCTCTAGAGCAACATGACTCTCCTTCCCAATTCAGGTCCTATCGTGACATGTAGGATTATAAATAATTCTCTTGGCATGTTCTCGCATCATCTGTAATGATGACTGAATCCCCACATTATTTTCCTCTTTTAATACTTGCGGAGTTACTCAATATGATTTTTGTGGATTTTATGCGCTTGCTGCTTTAATTGTTACAAATGAGCTATATATGAGAGAGGTCAGACTTCTGAAAAACTACACTAACCTATCACATCCCACCCTTTCTCAGCCTCCCCAGCTCCCAAAGGGAACCCTCCTCTGTAAGGGCTTGTCTACCTGGGGAAGTTGACTGGAATAAACCCCCACGTGGATACTATTCTGGAATAAAACTTCCCTACCCGGCCCTCCATACAGTTTGCAACCTCGATGTGGTCCTTGGGCCAAAAAAAAAAGTTTGCTCACCCCTGCCTTAGAGGCTAACAAATTTATTTGGGCATAAGCTTTCGTGGGCTAGAACCAACTTCATTAGATGCATGGAGTAGAAAATACAGGAGCAGGTATAAATACAAAAAAAGATGGGAGTTGCCTTACCAAGTGTGAGGTCAGTCTAACGAGACAATTCAATTAACAGTAGGATACCAAGGGAGGAAAAATAACTTTTGTAATGGTAATGAGAGTGGGTTCACACCCCTGAGGGATAGAACTTACGTCGACTTAAACGGTAGCGTAGACAAGCCCTTAGTTGCTTATTCCTACCTTTCCTCTCTACTCCTAAACCAGTGTTCAGTCTGTGACAGCTTCACCTCCTTCCACCCCATAGTTATCAAGATTCCTTAGCAGCCTCTTGAAAGATTTTTTTAATAGAGTCTTTTGAAGTCCAGATGCAATTATATCCTCCAGGTCTCTCTTGTCTGCTATTTTAAACTCCATGCCCCTGAAGGAGCAATCGTCTTGGCTTAATTCAACCCCCACCCCAATTCAATCTCAATCTACACCTACATCTTGCCTCTGCTTCTCCCCAGTCAAGAATAGATGTCGTCTTTGGAGATGACCAGGGCTCAAACTGATGGGAGGAATTTGCTGTAGAGCAGTGTCAGGAATTCCCATGTCCCAACACCATATAGGTGAGAACGCCATCTCTTTTACAGGGTATCCCTCATGGCAGCACACAGCGC